GCAAGCAAGCAAGCAAGCAAGCAAGCAAGCAAGCAAGCAAGCAAGCAAGCTGCACAACATGAAAAAGCAGCAACACCCAAAGATCCGCTTGTAGTTTACATAGAAATAACACCCAAATAGAATCAAATAGATCCCAAAAGCATATGTATATATACTATATACTCATTGTTATATGTTGATAAACAGCAAACTCATACAATCTCAGTAAATCTCATGTAAATCTATCCAAGTTTCTGGCCAACAAATCAGTTTCTCGTTCAAGACCCGCACAAATCCTGGACTTCCACCTCGAATATTCATGTCTGCACCATGTTCGCTGCCAGTCCCGAAGTACATCATGTCTGCACGACAGATGACGGATGATGCTTTGGCGCCGATGGAGGAGGAGACCTCGGCTTCAGCTGAGGCAGAGAACTCCAGGTTCTGGCCCATCCTCTGGATTTGCCGTCGAGTAATGTACTTGGGACAGTTCCCAAAGGCCTCGGTGCGACGCAGGTCACATGTTCCGACACATTCAGTACCCCAACAACCCCAGGTCGAAAGGTCAACACATCATGATGAACCCTCAAAGACATGTCGTCCGATCATTCTGACACCCAAAAATAAACATAAATCAATGAAATGAACCTGCCTGGGTAATCTTGATCAAGAAGTGGCCATTCTTATCCACCTTCTCTATGACCTCAGTGTCTGCGATCAGGCAAAAAGAAACAAACCTTCACCACTTGAACTCGACAGAGAGAAGCCCTCGAATCATCCTATGGCATCCTATGACATCCCATGATGCCATGACCATAAAGAACATAACATGTAAAAAAGCAGTTAAAAAGCTTATACAACCATTACTCAGACACGACTTGACACTTTGTAGTATAGCATCAAACAAATCCAACGGAATCGTGTTCTTCCACCCTCCACTCGCCACTCCGAGTCCACTCGGAGTGGCAGAACCGAGCCGCCCCGTTGAAGCGATTCCTCCGTCTTGTCATGAAGTCGATGCTCACGGCGCCCACCCAAATCCCAGGTCTCACCAGGCCATCGACCTGGAAGGCAATGGATCCATGGGGTGCCCGGCCGTACAAGGAGCAGAGCTGTCATCTTCATAGCATAGCTGTCATGGCCAGCTTTCTTGAAATTGGGTTATACAGTTTGAAGTTATTTTAAAATGAATCAACATGATTCAACATGTTTAGCCTACACAGTAGCATGTATATAAGTAATGCTAGCAATGGGGACATGCAGGTGGGGATGCGCGGGTTTAACAACATTTAAATAACATCACCTTAATCCCTCAGAAACACAAACAAACAAAAACATGTCTTGCGCCGTTGTGGCCAATATGCGGACTTCTCGCCGAGCCACTGCGGCGCCATCGCGGGGATCCAGCGCAGCCTTCACCTTGATGTGCGTCCCCTCCGAGGTTTCGCAATCCGCGAAGCCCGGTGCGGCGAAGATCACTGAGGCCCACAAGGCCTTGGTCTCGGGGTCGAAGAAGCTGGCCATGAACTGAGGTTGTGGACCGACCATATCCTCAGTTGAGGCCAGGCAAGCAGTGAGGCGCCTTGATCTGTACGGACATAATGTGTTAGATATTGTTAGGTTGATACAGAGAATTTGGAAAAAAAAACGAACACGTGCTGGTGCTTCTGAAGATCCCGGTAGGAACTAGGAATGACCTTGTGATAGATATGAGGCCCCATTTCATCCGAGGTGTGAACGGTTCCCTGCTTGCGCTGGAGAATCCGCTCGCCATCGTGCCAAGGTTGCGCCAACGAACTTGGAAGACCCATGGCGTCCAGTGCCGCGTCTGGTTGCGAAACACAGACTGGATGAGGCGACGAAAAATCGGTCTTCAACGGAAGAAAGGCGGGCAACTTTTGGGCCTGGACAACTTCAGGTGTGGAGTACAAGGTCGTTCGGCAGCGGCACAGAAACGGTTTAGAAGCTTCTTCAGCTAGCTTGGTCTCCAGTCTGAGACTTCTAAACAACCTCCTCCAACATGGAGTCTGGATGGGGTCATGGATGCCCGGAGCGCGGCTTCGGCAACGGTGTCCGGTTCAGCATCCAGGCCCACCAGGCTGATGGTCATGTCGACACCCCCCTTCAAGGCCAACAAGGTCAGCATGGTTTGAGATAGGAGGCATTGGGAGACCGGTCTCCCTCTAATAAACCCTAGGGATCCAGTCGTACCTTCTCAGGTTCGGTGATTGGAGACACTGTTATGTAGGTTTGGAGGGAAAGGTGATGACCTGATGATGGATGATGAGGTGATGACCGTCAGATCTGATGGACGATGGATGGGATTCTGTGTGAATTTGGACGATGGTTGAACCATGATGAGAACCATGAGAGCTTAGCATGTAAAACATAATTTTTACATAGTATAAAGAAAGGACATATTTACAATTTTCTGGGGGGCAAATGGGCTTGATTAATAGGGAGGTTTGCCAAGGAATATGTTTATTAGGGTGAGGCCAATGTGGAAATTCAGGTTTTAATAGGTTTTAAACCAAAGTGTATTCTGGGCTTGATTAAAATGGGGAGGTTGGTTAATCCTTCATGTCAACATTAGGTGTAAAACCAACACTTCTGGAAAGTTTGACTCTCAATCTTCTGGAGCCTCCGTGTCTGGTTTGGAGACTCCGATATTGTAATTGCAATTCTTCCGCACTGCATGTGCTTGTGGCTCAGGAGTCAAACTGCACTCCCACTTGTTCACCTTGTTCATGCCCCACACAGTCACAGCTACCTTTTGTTGCGCTTGAAGACGTTTGACATTGTCTGCCATTGAGTTGTGTGGGAACACGGACTCCTGTGATGCTTGGTCGCGCGTACGGTTGCGGACCAGGTATGTGTGTATTGCAAGCCACTGGTGATACGACGAACCGGCTCTGCCAGGTTTGGCCCGTATGGCCCCACACCAAATACCAATGGGGCGCCCTTTGATTGAAATAAACCACGTGTGCTAAATCTTCAGAACTCCTAGGAATATTTTGGCCCACACCATGGTGGCCAAAGCTTCCAGCAACTCCGAGGTGTGCGAAGCAAAGCGCTCCTCCATTCCTGCCTCGACCGGAAGCACCGCGTCCTGGTGACCCAGAGCAGCTCGGAACGTGCCGAGTTCGGCACACAACCATCCAAAGGGCTCCAAATACATGTTTAGCTTGGGTCATCCTGGATCCTGCTATGACCAATACAACGCAACATACTATGAAGCAGCAACCGTGATCTGTGCAAGCAGTGTACATCAATATACACAGGCCAAGCAATCCGACAAGCTTTGCTCCTAGATCTCATGTGCATGTATATTTTCGGCGTTGTTTCCCTTTCCCAGCCACCTGACCCTGCTATCATATCCAATTTAGCACCCTTCCTGCTCGGATCCTTCAGCATGTCACAGACCGATCTGGTCTGACACGTCTCTGTTTTGCTGCTCGGGTCTGACACACCAGTCACGATCCTCAACCGGGCGGATGGGCTCTGATCCTCCCGACGGCGCAGGTCCTCACCTTCAAATCTCCTTCTTGCACAGCGTGGGGCTTCGAAGCCTGTTTGGGGCACCGTTCGGGTGGTTGTTCCCCAAGCCCCCAAGAGGTCTACACGGTGTATGTCTACATGTCTTCCTCTTCCAGAACAATGAGCCATGTGAGAGCGACCTGTTCATGACGGCAAACTTCTTGATGATTATCCGTCAAGACTTTACCCAGATTCTGATTATTGATAAATGTATGCTAACAATACGTTGCCTGCAGAGCCTTGGGACCCTCATAGGTACGGGCAGTAGGGTCAGGAGTCCCAAACCTATGACCTATTGGTTTCGAGGGTATTTGACGCCCTTTTTCCGCTTGACAGCCGTCACCACCTCACCTGTGCAGATGTGGCCACAGTTGGCTCAGCGCGAGCCTGGAAAAAAGAAGAAAGAATTTGGTCAGGGGGGCTCTCATGGGCACCCGACTTCTATGTCCATCCTGTGATTTGATGTTTCGCTTCAAGTCATCTAACTGATGTATCCAACCGATGTCTAATGTCAGGATGTGACAAACGACCCTCAAACCCTACAAACACCGTCCAGCCCTACAAAGCGCATCCGTCCAAAACAGTCTCGACACTAGTCTCGACGGACGGCTGCTGAGCCAGCTGGCCGAGGAAAGGAAGGCCAAACAGAAAGGAAGCACAGCAAAAGGACCTAGGACCCAAACATGACCTCTATTTTGAAGATGGGAAAAGACTACCCTGTTTGGGGTGGTTGGTGGTCTTAAATAGAGGTCACTCCGGGTCTAGGGATGATACACTCCGACCCAGTAACATGGTGGAACACACCCTGTCTGCCAAAAAAATGAGTCGTCGTTTCATGGGCTCTCTCGCCCGACTCGCGAGTGGGGCTCGGGTAGCCTACGAAAGGCTGGCTCTTTGGGGGTCAGTCACTTTCCCATGCAGCTAGGTCCGAAGTCCGTGGCACCGACCGTACGGACCGAGTGATCCGGAGAGAAACCGAGTCTCGGTGAGAAGAAGTTTGCAAGAGTTCTTCCATCAACAGGAGTGCTTTTGAATGGGTAAAAGGGAAGGGATAAAGACATGATAATGTGATGATTGGTGCAAAGCAGTTCCCTTCAAAGTTCCCATCACGGTCGGCCAATGCGCATGGGCGGCGTTTGGGCACAAAATACATTGCTGAGAAAGACAATGGAGCACTCAGTAGAAGCAAAGCTGCCAAGGGAAATTGAATGGACATCAAGACTGCATTGTTAGGTAGGAAATCAGCAGTGCACAGCATCTCGCAAGCACCTTCTTTTGGAGCAACACTTGCTCGGCCCTCTCAATCTAAGCCAGGTGGGGCTTGCATAAAGCTATAGCTATATCTCTCACTATATTTAGCAAGTGAGACACAGATCATGGCCAAGGCTACAACAAATACATCAGGGGCAAAACTGTACAGTGAAATAGATCCTACTCTAAAGCTGCCCACATGCCATGGCGCATTGTTTCTGTATTATCCCAGGTCGTACAAGAACATCGAAAGCGTCGAGTCCAAAGCGCAGGGTTTCTCCAGGCACTGTGGCAAAGCCAAGCCGCGTTAGATGGGATGAACATGCTGAGGGATCCAACTGTGATTTCAAGAGTAGATGAGACAAACCTGAGAGTTGCTTGGCATGTCTGATTAACCTAAACCATTGCTCAATGATTTTGGTCATCTACTCTGAAATCAGCCGAGTGAAAATGTAGCTTCTGGCGAACACAAGGATGCAGGTTGATGCAGGTTGAAGGGCTCCAAAAACTGCCAAAGTGCAAACCATTGGCAATGGCCCCGCTGTTCCACATGCTCGAGCCACTCCCTTCTTCATTGTCGACTGTCCTCTTTAGACAGTCTTTTGCGCTGGGGTCAAGTAGTCCAAAATATGTTTAGTTCTTGAGACACATGAGTGTGTGCATGGATGTGTGATTTTACCAATCATCAAAGTATGTATTGGCAAGTAATGGCAAGTACGTACAGTTTTGTCAACTTGCATTTGCTGTCCTGGAATCGGGAACACGGCACTTTTCAGCTTAGGAGATTCACTCAGTTTTGGGAAACAAAAAATCACCCGATCCAGAAAAACCAGGTCAATCATTTTCTCCTCCTGTCACATCCAAGGTCTTGTAGTCCTCTGAGCCTCAGATCCAAGGCCTTGCAGTCATCCTGTCTTTATCGTTGTACATTCCTTCACTTACTCTCCTCCCTTGCATTCAGACGTCGCATTTGGGATCGAACCTTCAAAACCTCCCTTGCGTTCCTCCCAATCGCATTTGCTCATCCATCTCCTTTTCAAACCTCAACGACCCTTCAAACAGAATCAAAGTCACGTCTCGATTCTGCTATTTTTTATGTCAGAGCGTATGTGAGCGTCAGTCTCTTGTACACAACATTCGCATGCGCACGCATACAATTCAATATGACATGTGGACGCTGCAGAATGCTGCAGATGCATTTGGTTCAATCGACCCAAAATGTCTAAAGTTTGCTCAAATCCGATGCCCTCAATCACAGATTCCCAATGCAAAACTCTATCGCGTTGTCTCCCAGTCGACTTTGAACACACTGAACGCTACCCGGATTGTTGTCTTCTTTTTTGCATTTAATTCCCGCACGCACGCCGCGTTCCCCCACGGCACTGCCAGCTTGCCGAACGTCTTGAGGTTCTTCAGAAGTGCAAAGTAAGGTACCCAGCTGTTTCATGGGTAAGACAAGCTATTAAATACTGTGCATACTGCCTTTCAGGTCTAAGTCTGATTCGGGTCTTCAATCGAGGTCTTCCCAAATGTTCACCAAGCACCACTGGAAACCACACCCCAGAAGGGGTCAAGCCACCCTCACGTTCCGCAAGCGGCCAGCTGTGTTGAAAATGATCGTTGCAGTGACCTGCTTGAAAGACCTGACCCTGCCTCTCCCATGAAACAGGAGACGAAAGATATTGGACTTGATGTAGTTCTCTATTTAAAAAGCCTTCAATGTTCCTTTATGCTCTTTTCATGCGTTCCTCGATTCCTCAGTTCATCCTAGAGTTTCTCCAGCATTCTGCCGGCTCATTGCATTCTCTGCGGGCCTCTGCTGGCGTCGTTGCAGCTGCACTTTCCTCTGCTGGCGTCGTCGTGTTCTTCGCACACGCAACAGAAAAGGCATTCTGGCATATTCTGGCTGAAATTGAGTATTTCGTAGGTCGGTGGGTCGCAATTTACTATTTCAAACCTTCACCCATTCTGGATTCCAAAGGGAGTACCTTGCTTCCACCGTCGTTAAGTGGATCTGGCAGCCTTTATGGGGCTCCCGGACGTCCGCAGCCGAAAAAGACGCATGGACGATGGTGGTAGTACAAACACATACAAACACTACCTAGGCCTCCAGTCGTACCGAAGCTGAGAAGGTGGGACTGGGGTGGGTGCCGGGCTCCAGTCATACCGAAGCTGAGGAGGTACGACGTATGAATGAAACACCCAGTACATCCCATTACGTGAAGGTTTGCTGAGCTTGCTACAGTTTGGTGAACCAGGATCCGGCGTCGTCGCGTCGTTTGTCTTTGTTCCTCTTGTCTCCGCATTTGCTTCAGACTGCTACCACCATCTATGCAACCCTTAGGTGATGATTGATCCTTATGACTCATCTCATGAACGCTCTAAGAAGCTCTAACATCCTGCATGTCAGCGTGTCTGCGCGAACTGTCAAAGGGGCAAACAAAATCTGCTCACATACCAAGCCAAGATCTCAATCTCGTCATTTTTGGGCCCCCCTGAAAAAAATAACGAAGGCCCCACACCAGTGATTTTGGTCGTTGCAACCACTGCTTGCCATACTGCAACCACTGCGGCCGCTCCACCTTCTTTCGCTTCTTCGACTTTTTATCACCTCCATTCTGCTGGAGGACGAGGGGGGGCGACGGTGCATTCATGTGTTTCCCAAGCTCAGTGGACCAGTGGAAGCAACACTGCAAACTGGAAACGCTTTCTCCGGTGTACACTTAGAGATGGGAAACACCGACGTGTTTCAAGGGGCATGCAGCTGTTGATGGGTGTTGATTCGCGAAGAATGCAGCACGTGAACGAATATCCGAAAAGCGCTGTCACTGCTCTGGCATAGATCCTCACCCTGATCATCCAGCCACCGCGAGCGACCGCGAGCGACCGCGAGCGACCGCGAGCGACCCGTGCCTTTGGCTTCATCCTGGCGCGGTGTTGGATGGTGTTGGGGAGGGGTGAGGATTCATCAGCTAGTTCTAACTGGTAGTGTTACGCGTCTCACATGTCGGATTGTTTTGGACGTGGGTTCAATAGATTACCTATACAATCCTATACAGACCCTTCCAAGTTCAGCCGTACCCAGGTGTCTTCTACAGAGGGTTGGCAGTGGTCCCTGCGATGTGGATAGGTGGATGGTCACTAGCCAACTTGCCGTCTTGTCGTTTTGCTACTTTTGTTCGAGTCGCCGAGTCGAGGACGAGGACGTCAGCTGTCACAGCCGGAAGTCAATGAATGTCGACTATTGCTGTAGATTATATATGATGATTTCAAGCCCCAATATGAAGACGTGTCTTTTTCCAATCCAATTGGCGGATATATCAATCAACTGTCTATGCTTAAAGAACTTGAGCAACATAGAGTTGCCGCCAAGGTTTCTTCCACTGAAACTGCCAGTCTTCTCTCGACCAGGCCGCCATGCCTTCTCTTTCCGCTTCTTCTTCGAAGATTCAGCTCCTGCTGTTTCAGAAGGACCCTCCAGATTCAGCAGGAGCTTGTTCCAAGGCTCATTTTCCACCCGTTGGACCCACCAAACCCGCTTGAAACCACTCCCCCATCCAACCACTTCGGAGAGGGTCCCTGGATTTCGTCGCAAACAAAGTTGGACTACGCAACCACTGGGTGTCACTGGATTTGTGGGCACACATTGCCACACGACAAAATAATGCAACTGTTTTCTTTCACTATATAGTCTTGGCTTAGAAAACTCAATTTATCTCAAACCGGAGGAGTCCTGCCAAGTGCACCTGATTCACCCGTCTTGACCCACCAGGCTCGGGAGCCTGCTGCGCCATTGGCCGCGGCGGGGCGTGGGACTGCAGCCGCTTTTTCTCCGTTGTCGGCCTGGGGTTGTAAAAACTCCCTGGAAGAATGGATTAGTAGAAGATATAGGATTAACGAAATGGATGCCAAAGTTATCACAGTTCACTGCATTTCAAGATTGTCCATGCATCGTAAAATAATGAACTGATCGATCTCTTTCGTGCGATGGAACACCGGAACAGCGGATGGGAAAACACCGTTGGTCTAACAGTCTAACAAGTTGGAGTCCAAAAGTGGGTCTGACCACGGGAATTCAGACACTCCACGATATCATCCATCAACCCAAGACAATCTTGCTAAAGCAGCAAGCCAAGCCAAGATGTTATGAAAACACTATGGTAGAAACCATCTACAGTACCAAATTATTCTAAATACACACCTTAGGTCAACTTGCTTCTGAAACAGGCCCTTAATTGTGGATCTCAATGGTACACTGTTGAGATCTGTTGAGTGCACCATAGTGCACCCCAGCGGCACAAAGAACCCATGGCTTCATCTCCCAGAATATGTAGTTAACCTTATAGATAGTTACATGATATTAAATGAACTATAGACTATAGAGTCTAGACGCCTGGTCCGGCACTGGCAAGCATCTACGTTTATGAAGTGTGTTCTTGAGACTTCCATGACTGCATCAACTACAGCAAGTCTGTGGCCATCCCCACCTTCGCAGTCCCCGTCGGCGCAGCCACAGTCGGCGCTTCTGCCAAGGCGGATGTCTGCTCAGAAGGAGCAGTGGCTGGAACCACTGGAACTGCTGCAGCTGGGACTCCATTCACCGGCCTTGGACGAGAAGAAGCGTGCAATGTCCAGATAATGACGGGATTGGCCATATCGGTAATATGGATATCTGGTGTCTCGTGCAAAGCGGATCAAGGGATGAGGGAGTTTTTGAAAGCTATTCAAGAGACGTGGTTAGAAGGTTGTCTAGGAGATAAGGTGCTCTCTGACCTGAAATCTGAGCCTGAAAGCTGTCAGGATGGGTAGGGAACTGGTCTTGAGTGGCAGAACTACCTGCGTCTCTGCTCGAAGAACTGAGACTCGGACATGTTCGGATGGGTCTTCTTCCACCATTCCACCTGGTCAAGCTGACAACTCTGGTCTGCTGGATGCTACATGTATTGTCTGCAACGGGTGCTTGTTCTGAAGAATCTGGAAATCACCACGAGAGGTTTGAATGTCTTTTACATCAACTAAATTGTTCATTTAGATTGAGCTCCGTATTATGCTGTTAACAACTGTGCAAACGCAATAGTAATAGCTGTGGCTCAAAAGCTAGGGTACCATCCAAACCCACTGGCAAAAAGAAACAACACCAAACTATACCAAACTTATCGGTTTCTGGATCTCCTGCATAGAGTCATTTGGGTTCGTCAAACGGAGTCGAGAACAACTGCAAAGACTCTGATTTCGCAGGAATCGTTGATGGTTTCATGGCGTAAACATGTGCCAAACGCACAGCCATGGCAGTGGGTGTGTACTGACACTTAGGCCGCTCATACTCTGTTTGCGACTGTCTTACCGACCCCTGAAAACCAGAACCTCTGCACAACTGTCCTAATCAGAACCCCATGCGGAAAACAAAACAATAGTAATAAAGTCTTCTGGATGTGGATGTCAACCGGCCATTGATCCAAGGAGAGTCAGTCCAATCACAGTGACAATGGATGTTTGATGACTTTGTCCAACATGATTGTTCCCACAACATGTCATGTGTTTCCAAAGAGTTGGGCGGTGATCAGCCGGTCAAACCTGAAATCAGCAAGCTTTCTCGAAACCCTGTGCCACAGCTTTCCGGAACCAATCCGACTGTTTGATAGAATATTAATTACTTGCTTGTATATACTTGTATGTGTACTATGTACCAGCTGGCATTCCGATTTAGGGAACGTAATTGGATCTACAAATTCCACCTGCTACCTGTATTGCAATATTCTTCTCCCAGTACCACATAATGCTAAACAACAATGCCGTGGCATGTTGTAGGCTGGCGTCTCACAACCTGGCGGCTACCATGGTAGCTAGGTGCCAAGCATACTCTTGGAACGTCATCTTGGTGAAGTCAGGTGTGTCCTGGAGTGAGGCAGCAGTCCATGCCAGCCAATCTCTTGTCCAAAGACGTAGACGTATGCTGCGGGGTGCTGCCGAGGTCCAACGAGATGGTCTGTACCAAGTGTCATTGTTCCATCTCCGTAGGCTACACACCGAAGAGTCATGTGTGCCACACCCGGGGTCTTCAATGAACGTCACGGACACCGAAAAGAGTCGGTTTGGGCGGCGTTCATTGTTCGAGGTCGGTCCCCTCTTACGGTATCATGTGTGGCACAAAACACATGACAAACAAACCAGTGAAAATCCATCAATTTCATTGTTGCCTTGACCAATCCTGGGTGATCTACCCATAGTTCACCACTTTGAGGCACCCTGAGAGAAAGAGGAGCGCACCACTGTTTTGGGGGGGGCATGTGTTCTTTGGACATCCCTTTTGACCAACCTCTGCAGTTCTGCTTTTTCCGGCCACGGCGCCACCATGGCTCCTGCCGACTCCGCCTTCGAGTCCGCTCCCTGATGAGAGCACCGATGGATGGGATGGGTGGAGATCTACATGGAGGACATAGCCTGTGGCCCTGCTCCTGTTGAACTCTGGACTATCTGCTATCCTCATATGCGCTGCATATATACAGTGTATATATATAATAGATATCATCCAAACTCGTCTATGTCTATACTTCTATACATTTGTTCATTTTTTCAACATGTACTTCACAAGCATCTTTTCGTCTTCCAGCCTCACCGCGGGAACTGCCGCCGCAGGCACCGGCACTGGCACCGGGCTTGGGCCCGAGCCTGACACGCCACGCTGGATGTTCCCTGCCGCTCACTACAGCAACCAATGTCAACCTGAAGCAAAAGAGAAGCACAAATCCAGAAAGTACTCGCCACCTCAGTTTTGTTGGAACCTTCTGGGGATATGGTATACCTCACTGGGGACGGGGCACGGTGTTTTCTACGGTCTCCGTTTACATCTGTCACAGTATGTCACAGTCGACTCTTCGGCTCCCGGCGACTGCGGCTCTGCCTGTTGTCGTCGACCGGTGGGACGGGGAACTCGACCGGTCGCTGGGAGGTGCTGGAGACTGGAGATGCTAATTGACCTGCTGAGGAAGTAAATGTTGATCCAAAAGAGACCTGAAGAACCAGTAGAAGATGGAAAACAAGTCACAGAACCCCTTGTAGGATGCATCAGGAAGCGGTTTAATGCGCACCGAATCATCGGAAAACTACTGCAAATCAGTGCAAGTCTCCTTCTATCATGATCAACAGAAAAGGTTCTGACAGTGAAACTGGGCCAAACCAATCAGACCGAGATCACAATGCCATTAGCACAGATCCCAGCTGGATAACCAGTGATGTGTTTTATATCAGTTTCCAGATTCGTTTCACGATGGCTCGAACCACAGATTCTAGGAGAAGGTGTTTTTGTATTGGAAGAACCAAAAGAAAACCTGTCGTACATGTCTACCATATAATACACCATGACGATTGATCGTTAAACATAGTTGCACATTTAACGCATGTTAAACTATAAACCCTCCAAACCTCACTGATCAAGTCTCCCCACCCCCGTGTCCGCTGGGTCTCCGATCCTCTCTCCACTGGTGGAGCCCTCAGGTGAAGCCAAGTGACCAAGGGTGTCAATCCGGCTTTAGCGGATCGGTAATTGAAATACACATGCCGCATGCCATGTATTGCCATTTGTTTGATTTTCCTGATTTTGACCTGATCCGCTGATAAAACCACTGATTCCAAGCGAGCAAGGGTGCATCAAAACAGTTTCTGCCAAATCACCGCAATCCTAGTGATGCCAATGATTCATCAGCCATGTCAATGTGGCTCCCCAGTTCTCAGTGTCAATGATTCTGACGCATACCTTGAAATCGACTCCCTCGACTGTTGAGCCAAGCGACCACCCAAGCACCTGGGAAATGTCGTCAAATGTTCACAGTGAAGTGCATGGAATTGACAGGATGTCACTGCTGGCAGAAAATTATGTTTTAAAGGCAATGTCTCGGTGATGCACGTCCTCGCGAGGAAACTCCACAAGCATCCACAAGCATCTTCTAGCAGGAAGCTGCCCCCCCAAACCTCTCTCCACCCTCCAGGCCTGGGGGCGCTGTTGGTCCAGAAGGCTCGAAGGGCGAACCTTTGCAGCGGAAGGCGGTCCGGAGGTTGAGGAGCTGGGCCCATGGGGAAGGAGATTCACCCCCATAGTGCCATAGGTGAGGGCTGGTATGTCCGTGACATGAGGCTCAAGGAAGCTAAGAAGTATAGATAGAATGTAGAATCTGGACGTAATATCAATTCAGTCCTTCTGGGCAACGTCTTGCAATCGTTTGTCTGCGTTCGTCTAAATCGTATAGATTGTCAAAATGATCCAATGCCAATGACCTGCGATGCTGCTGCTACTGCTACTAATGCTATTACTGATGATGTACTGTATCCGGCATTGAGGTGTCACTCTCGGTGGTTCACTTCTGGCAGTTGCTCCAGGAATTGTGCCACTGCCAAATGAACAAGGTACAACTTACATGCAACTTGTCAGGATCATTTCTATCTGAGCAAATTATTGCTTGGTTCAATGAGCGCAGAATTTGACCTGATGTGCCCAGAAACAGCTGGGTAAAACTCGCAAGATTGTCCATAAATTGATCGCGATCTTCGCATAGATTGCTTCGACACTGTCAAGGACTCTACAAGATCTACCCCCCTCAAAACTCTTATAGGCTCCATTGTGAAGGTACTTTAGGGCAAACACCCATGTAGTAACCCACCACTTGAACCTTTGAATCCTTCAAGCCTTGAGAAGGGTATATTGGCTGAAGCTTGTCTTCCAAGCGTGTCGTCCAAGGGTCAATAAACCCTACAAGGTTCTATGGCATTCTATGGTTTCGGTTTTTGTTTAGGCTCCGGCTGGATCCGGGAGCCATCGAAGGCCTCATCCGAACAGCGAAGTCCATAGCTGCTCAAACAAGTTGCGGAAACAAAGGATGCCGATGAATCGTTAGCCCAAGAAATGATAGGCAAATTACAAAATGGTCATGCATGGTCTCCAAACACATCCAAACTATAATGTTCCACGATCCCGGGGATAAATTTGAAGATGAAGTGCTGGGCAAATGAATGACCATGCATTCATAGGGTCAGGATTGCTCAGGGACAAATGTAAACCCCTCCAATTGGGTATTACACATCAGAGTCCAAATCAGCAGTCATATATAGTAATCATAGAGTGGGTAGTACTCCAATCACGATAGACATGGGTTGACACCTGTGTCATGTAGAAGATGGAAAACAACTCAATGAACCCCTTCTAGGATGTATCAGGGAGCAGTCGAATGCACTCCGAATCTCCTTCGTAGATGATCATCAGAAAAGGTTCTGACAGTGAAACTGGGCCAAACCAATCAGACCGAGATCACAATGCCATTGCACAGATCCCATCTGGATAACCATTGATATGTTTTATATCAGTTTTCAGAGTCGTTTCACGATGGCTCGAACCACAGATTCTAGGAGAAGGTGTTTTTGTATTGGAAGAACCAAAAGAAAACCTGTCGTACATGTCTACCATATAATACACCATGACGATTGATCGTTAAACATAGTTGCACATTTAACGCATGTTAAACTATCTCACTGATCAAGTCTCCCCACCCCCCGTGTCCACTGAGTCTCCGATCCTCTCTCCACTGGTGGAGCCCTCAGGTGAAGCCAAGTGACCAAGGGTGTCGATCGGCTTTAGCGGATCGGTAATAGAAATACACATGCCGCATGCATCCGCATGCCATGTATTGCCATTTGTTTTTTGTTTTCCTGATTTTGACCTGATCCGCTGATAAAACCACTGATTCCAAGTGAGCAAGGGTGCATCAAAACAGTTTCTGCCAAATCACCGCAAATCTAGTGATGCCAATGATTCATCAGCCATGTCAATGTGGCCCCCCAGTTCTCAGTGTCAATGATTCTGACGCATGCCGTGAAATCGACTCCCTCGACTGTTGAGCCAAGCGACCACCCAAGCACCTGGGAAAGGTCGTCAAATGTTCACATGAAGCTCATGGAATTGACAGGATGTCACTGCTGGCAGAAAATTATGTTTAAAAGGCACATGTCTCGGTGATGCACGTCCTGGCGAGGAGAACATGCAGGTTATCTTCGGACCAAACTCCACAAGCAGGTTATCTAGCAGGAAAGCCATTAGGAAGCCGCCCCCTCCAGGCCTGGGGGCGCCGTTGGTGCCGCGGTCGAAGGTGCAAACCAGGCAGCAGAAGGTTCGAAGGGCGAACCTCAGCGTTGCAGCTGTCCAGAGGAAGGAAGATTAAATAAAAACATAAATTGATCGGTACAACTTACATGCAACTTGTCAGGATCATTTCTATCTGAACAAATTATTTGACATGATGTGCCCAGAAACAGCTGGGTAAAACTCGCAAGATTGTCCATAAATTGATCGCGATGTTCGCGTAGATTGCTTCACCACTATCATGGACTCTACAAGATCTACCCCCTCAAAACTCTTATAGGCTCAATTGTGAAGTCAGCTACTTTAGGGCAAACACCCATGTAGCAACGCACCACTTGAACCTTTGAACCCTTCAAGCATTGAGAAGGGTATACTGGCTGAAGCTTGTCTTCCAAGGGTCAATGTTCAGTCTATGTAAGTTTGGCAGGCTGCAGCTCAACCAGAGAAAGGCAATTATCAGTTGTCAGTCAACAGTCAAACCCTACAACGTTCTATGGCATTCTTTGGTTTCGGTTCCATTCAGGCTCTGTTCAGGCTCCTGCTGGATCCGTAGGGAGCCATCCAAGGCCTCATCCGAACAGCGAAGTCCATAGCTTTTCAAACAAGCTCATTTTTATTTCAGTTACTTCAAACAAGCTGTGGAAACAAAAAATGGCGATGAATCCTTAGCCCAAGAAATGATAGGGAATTTGTTCCACGGTCATTTGAAGATGAAGTACTGGACAAATGAATGAGCCATACATTTACAGGATCAGGATTGGTCAGGGACGAATGTACACCCCCGCAATACACACGTAGAGTCCAGTTCAGGAGTCATACATAAAGATGGATATATAATTATAATATTGTATGATATGGCAATCATAGAGTGGATAGTACTGTCAATTTGGATTTGAGATGGACATCCGATGGTCCATCCTCAGTTCCTGAGAAAGGTGACTGCTTTCCTGTCGCATACAAGCGGGGCACGATGCCTCAAGCCATACTGGGAAGATCCTCAAAAACCTATCCTTGGATTAATTTCAACCATAGTTGCATCCCCTTCTTTTACCAGGTCTTCAGTGACCATGTTTTGCAACCCACCTGCCAAGCTCCCCCACGGCGCTACTGCCGGAGGAGGGCCAGGGATAGGCCTCACTTGCGGCTTCTGGACAGGGAGGTGCACCCTCTCAGACCATGGGCAACACGACATGTTTCACGGTAGACAAGGCAGTGTAGCAGACCAACCAAAACGACTTGGTCCTGCAATGAAACGTGGCACAGAGTGGATCCCGTAGGTGCTGTGGCGTTTCATCAGTAATGAACATGACCGAGTCCACCAGACTCGTCCGAAGACCTCCATGTTTTGGGACCCCAAAAACGCGTGTAAAGCTAATTAGGCGCCAAACGCTGGAGCAAAATGTCCACCATGTGGTGCAAACGCATCACCTGGGTCACAAGCGGATTGATTTGGGTTGAGAAAGGCATACATTAACGTGACTACTTTTGGAAGACCCTTACTATGTACCTAGATCTTCTAGTAAACATTGTTTAGGAGGGTCTTCCACGATCAGTTGGTCTTTTTGTGGTAGAGGTTCAAGAATGCATAACAAGAAGTTCCAAAGGAATTGATGCAAATTGTAACTAGAAGCTCCAGGGCCGTTGCGATGATCAACCCAATCAATGCTCAAATGGCGGGATGATCTTCCCAGAATGCCACATCACTCCACTGGGCGTCCCTGCGCGGGACACTTGCTGGTAACAGCTCATCCTCAAACAGGGCGTGTGCCACTCAGCATACTTAGACAGGGCCCCCCTGTCTAAAGGGGGGGTGGACATTGCGAGGAGTCCGGCTTGCTGACTTGGGGGCTCAACAGGCTCAACCGGTGTCCTTTTTCTTACCCACAGCCATAGTCCTGTTGTTGGACGACAAAATCTCATGCAGGCCAGGAGAAGCAAGGCAGCTTTCGGGTGCTTCCGTTCCACAATCCTGCTCAGCAGGCAGCAAATGAAGCCGTGCACGAGCGTAGATGAAAGCAGCAAAGCAGCCAGCAAAACCGAGCTTTTAGCAATCTGACAACTCTGGAAATCGTATATCCTACAGAACCTGCTCAGCTGGAAAGTATATACCGGTGTATGTTACCTTAATTGGGGTGTGGGGAGCCATTTTATAGATATAGGGTATGATTGACCATCTGAGCCATCCTACACGAGGATGAATTTTATAAGCATTCAGCATTCATGTTCTTGGTGGTCTTTGCTGACTCGGAGATTGATCGGGATGGGGAGTAACCAGCCTATTCTTGCCACACACCTTCTCAAGTTGTCTTGCCAACTTCTCAAAGTACATTCCTGGGCCCTCACCATGCAAGGCTCGTAGTTCTTGGGGTCCTCCAAGTAGACCTCAAGGTGTCAGATTCTCAGCGATCCGGTGGCTAAGCCCTCGACTGCTTCCCTATTATAGCACCGGTTCATTCGGTTCATCCCTTTCGACATGTCTAGATCAGCCAGAAAGACCCACAAGCAAACTCGTGTTGAACTCTGCCCTTTTCTACCTTTAGGAACTCCTTCAAGCACTTGATGACCTTTTTTTTTGCAGGTTGTTTTAACCACTCGACCGATTCCACGGCGGAAAACGGACGTGCATTTCGTGCAGCCCAAGGTGCTCGGACATCGAAGTGGGTGCAGAGTTCGGCGCCAACCTTTTGGGAGAAAAATGGCTGCTTCCAAGGCGTAAGTGGGGCCGTCATTGTTTCATATTGTTCCGCCCCTTCCATGAACTTTAGGCAAAATCTTGTGACTATAGAAACTATTGAAGGACTTCCTCTTCCCGTGTCTTGTTGGGAGTCCACTTGCTCCAATCGATGTCGATTAAATTGGGAAGCAGCTCATGCAATGGCCAAAGCAAGGTACCTGCTGTGGGATGTACATCGTCTGGGATTCTTGAATGGTATGTTCTTGCAGATTCTTTGACAAAGCTCCATGCCAAAATCTATGGCATGCATCTCTCTCTACAGCCACCAGCCACCAACAGTGGTTGAATAGAATTACAAATACTGGTGATGAGAAAACGGCTGAGAATAACCGCTTCAAACCTGATACTGTAGTCTGAGAGCTTCAATGTTAGCCAATCTCGAGAATACAGTCAAGGGCTTCCCGTGCTGTGTGTCAAACAAAGTCCGCCACCGGACCTGATAAGACAGTTCTTGTCCATCTCTGGCTGCAGTGACCTCCCAACTTCGCACGCGTTGCTCCACCGCAGGTTCAGTCAGAGTACGCCAACGGTGGAGCGCCAAGGGCGACTGCCGGGGGTGCACATTCAGGTGGGCAACCGTTCACCAGAAGAGGTACGTACAAGACATCCTTCTGCTTGGTTGAGCCTATCAAGCTTAAAAAGTGGAGGGGTCGACCCTGCGACAATTGTGGTTGATCCAAAGGACCACTGGATGCCGTCCGTGTGTGCTAAGACAAAACTGTGTTGGACAAGTAGGACCAGGACGCCGCTGTAGACCATGTTCAGTAGAAGGGATCTAGGAAATTCTACTTGGTTCCTCTAGAACAAAATGTATCCACCAGGTAGGAGTTTACAACATGTTTGGATGATTCGGTGGGCAACCTTGTTGCATCTCACCGCAAATGCAAGGAGATCGCAACTTCTGCAGGAACCTGGCATCCGATCATCTCTGATGAGTAGGCCTCAAGTAGCCATGCGCATGAGCAAAATCCAGTGTATTGCAGTGCAAACATTCAAGTGACCCCCCCACACCCACGCACACACAGTCCCCTCCCAACAGGCTTCTTGAATCCTCTACAAAACAAGGGATATACTTTACCCATCAAAAAGAGAATCTCGTTGTCATCAGCAAATGTTCAGCACACTCAGACTCATCATGTCATCCTGATAGACACCACGAGCGCCTGTCGCCCCTCGTCCAAGGGATTGCGGAGGTAGCTCACCTCTCTGCGCATTGGAACACACAACTAGACTACATACATTAAGAGCGGGAGGCCAGGTAGGTGGTGCAAACGGAAAACGCAAAAAAGATGGTCTGCTTGGTAGATGCAGGACACATGAGCCACTCTAAAAACCTGGAGTCACTCCCTATGTCGTATCACTTTCCTTGCGCGAAGCCTTACGCGCTGCTTACGCGGCCCTCACTTTTGCTTACGCAAAGCAAACTTCGGAAATGCTTACGTGAAATGCTTACGCAATCATACGCAACCCAGGGTTTTGCTTACGCGGAATTCGATATGACAAGGTCCTTACTTAAGATGTAAAGGCAGGTTTTTAGAGCGGCTCACATGTTATATATAATTGTGTGCAAACGTAGCCTCCACATAGCTAAGCAGGATGATGGGATGATGATGATGATACTTGCAGAAAAGTCCTGACCTCCGGCATGACCACGTCCTGCAATCGTAGCCATTCAACCTGAGAGAGAAACACTTCACTACTCTCATCACACATTTTCTTGATAGTCAGTTGACATGACGAGGTGTTCTCTCTCTCTCTCTCTCTGCCCTTCAGAACCGTCAGAAAGGAATACATTCAACCTTACAATTAGGTAAAGGCAAACCATGAAACATGAATTCGCAACAGCACCAACAACAAGAAGGAGTCACTCACAGTGTTGGCGAAGGACTTGAATTAACATGGCACTGCTTGAAGATATCTGAACATCTGAACATATCTGAACCTGTGTCTCCCACGGTACATCCAGGATGTGTTCACTTTTTACTCCGCTCTAAGGCCTCGGGCATCGAACAAGCGTCCAAAGCCACCGAAGGGGTCTGACTTGCACTTGGACTGGCCCGGCAGACTCCGCCTCAGTAGACCGTTGATGGAACGACACGAGGAAGAAGATGGTTCATGGAAAACCATCCGGAAAACCATCTGAGTTGAGATGGTGATGAATATATATATAACTTAATGTTTCCACCACCACAATCGGCAGGTTCTTGTTGTTGTTTGTCGTTTTCTTGAATTAAGTATCTTTAAACTGGTGGTGAGAGGTGTCCAGCTAAGATTCCAACATTCGAGCGTAGCCTTGAAAGGCACCGCTCTTGCTGACAGAGAAAATCAAGATCACCACCTCAGGTAGCAGAATGCACATCGCTGGATTAGGTATATAGTTAGGGTGTCTCAGTATCCTTCTGGACACAAACCTCACCAGCAACAAGGGAATCAAAACGAATCAAATCATTTCCCGTGCGGCACAAGATAGCAAATAAGATCTGGATGGTTCGATCAAGACTGGATTGGGTCTGCATCACCTTGTGGGCCATGTCTTAAGCCAAAAGGCGCCCTCCTAACACCAGCGATCTTGATGTGTGCAAAGCTGCGACGTTTTGGCAAAACAAGTAACAAGATCCGCACTTCAGACGTGTCTGTCGGGTCTTGCTAGATTCGACTGTGGAGGCCTGCGCCGATTATCTGCCTGAGGTTTCTTCAACTCATGGGACCTGGAACTGGGATTCGCAGTGCACGAAGTACTTTGATGTTCTTGATTGTACCTAAGGACCAGTCAAAGACCCATCACTAGACATCTCCTTTGGGGTCACCGCTCTATAGTATAGTCTATCGCAGTCTTGGTTGCAGTCATGATATGATTAGATTCTGTTAGATTGATATTCTCAACGACATGCGACATCCGGGCGCTTGGAAAATAGGCCTCCTCAGCAGGAAATCGAATTCCCCTTCCGGTACTCAGCCAGAACATTCTCAGCCTTTAGGAGGATGCCCGTCTTGTTGGCCTCGTGATAGGCCTCCATGAATGCACCGAGCTCCTTCACCAAAGCATCACGGTTCACGGCTTCGGATGTGATGACCCTTGGCACAAACTCTGCAAGGTCAACTAGAACTGGCACAGTCGTGTTGTAGTAGCCAAGGATGGTGAATGCGAGCCAAGCATGCTCCCGAGCAAATTCAAAAAAAGATTGCCTCAATGTGGAATTCAGCTGTTGGAGTTTTTTCTGCTCGGCTGTAAAATTGAGGCTGCTCTCTTCAAACAGAGCCTTTGCGTCACACTCTTTCTTCAAAATGTCGACGAGTGCTTTCTGGGTGTTCTCCATTTTGGAGGCCTGGTCTAGTTGATGCACCAAAGAGTTCATGTCTGATTCTGCATTGCTGATTTTGGCTTCATTGTAGTCAGCGTTGGGGATCGAATGAACCACCCAAACACTTGGGTATGGTTTATTGGCATCAAAATTGAATGTGAAAAGATAGGCAACCGTTCTGCCATCTACGGATGCCTTTCGCCCTTGTAACGTGTATTTGTCTCCACTTACCCTGGCTGTAGTTTGCCCAAAAGACTCCCCATCTAAGAGCGAGGTCTCAAAACGCTTCCTCTGGTCCTCATCAGCGGGAATAAGCCTGTACTCCTTTGGCAAGTACACGTATTTGTATACTCCACCGCTGTAATTAGCCACTGTCTGGTTTCTCTCTCCTGAGCATTGTGAATAATCCCAAGGTCGCACATCCTGAAGCGCAGCCTCCAAGGTGTCGTTGCCGCAGTCACGGTCGAACAATAGCACGCGGTCAATGGAATTGTAGTCCGTTTTGAAGACATCAATGTCTTCATGCCCCTTCTTGAGCTGATCAATCTCAGCCTCTCGCATCGTAATGTTTTTCTTGAGTTCTGCTGTTCGATCCGAAGCATGCTGCAGGTGTGCGCGTTGTTTCTGGAGCCGGTCCTTACATTCCGCGACGGAGCGATTTGCAATCGCAGCCTCAGCTTCATCAATCAAATGATTGTTCGGCGTGTGCCCATTGCGGCTGAGCTCTTCTTTGGACTGCTGCCCGAGTTGCTCCATCAGTGCTTGGTGGTGCTGATGTCTCGTCTCATCTGATGACTCGACTTCTTGGATCTCCGACTGGACATCGCAAATCTCCTCCTTGATTTCATTCATTAGTCGAGGGTTTTCCTGCAAAAACTGTTTAAAGAACATGGACCACGTGTGCGCAGCTGTGGAAAACATCAATTCCACCGTCCTTTGAGACTTGGTATCATGGAAGGATGACCCAAAGTCTGGCTTTGAGCATGGACCATGTGACTGTGACAAAGCATCCAAAGCATCCAGCAGGTCTGCTCGTTGCCCAAGATCTTCTAGGTCAAGAACATGTATTCGCTTTTGGGAGGCACTATGCTTCACTGCACGCCACAAAATGCAATGTTCATCCAAAGGCCTAGACTCAGACCCGGCAGTTCTCAAGTTTTTCCCGCAATGACGGGATGCCTCGGTGGCAAAGGCGCCATCCTCCATCTCTGCACGCTGCCCCACATCCCCCTCATACTTGGTGATGATAATGTACAAAACGATTCCAGGTCGACCATCGAAAATCTGCTTCAGCATGCCGCGCAGTTTTCCTAGCAATTCCAACAAGCCTCGACCACGTGTTTCGCTGATGAGCGAATATGGCACCAGCAAGAGTATTGCTGAAATGCATGCCACTGAGTCAAAAGCACGGTCCAAGCTCAAGCTCGTCACCATGCTGAACTCATCGCCACGCGTGTCCTCAAAGCCAGGCGCATCGACCAGTACTACGTCACTTCCCAACTCGCTCACGTCATAGCCTTCCGCGCACAATGTCTGAGACTCGAACCAGGAAGTGCTTATCACTGGACCTGATTTGTTCTCGTGAATCCAAACGGGGCCAAAGGCACCGGTGGCCTCCTCAAGCGGGATGCCCCTTGGCTGGCTGGCAATTCTTTTGTGATAGAACTCAGAAGTGACTGAGGGCATCGAAACCGTGTTTCCTACGCCACTGAATGGAGAGTTCGTACCCCGTGCCGAAGCCAAGTCCGGCCATAACCCCAAAAGGAAACGGTAGAAGACACCTGGAATTAATTTCCCCTGTTGGAACGATTTGTCTGCTCTGGCTCTGGCGTCCGATATATCGAACTGCCCTTGATGGGTTGGGCGTTACTTGTCTGGCATTGTGTGTGACAACTTACAAGAATCAGCTGCCTGCAGGTTGGGGGTGCGTTTGTTACCTACCTTGAAAACATACATGGCACAATAAGGCAACAAACAATCATACCACATGGTGAGCCGGTCTTCCAAAGTGTCTAAACTGACAGTTCAAGCAAGATTCATCATGTAGCTCGCCATGGTGCTCTTCCCACTTCCAGTATTTCCCAGCAAAAAGATCGCTTTCTTCTGGAGCATTTTTTCACGCCGATGCTCCGATTCCCGCATCATGCGGAGCACCTCGGGTACCGTCATCAAATCAATGGTCATGTTCGTCTTGCTCGTAGAATTCATCTGGATCTCATAAACAGCGCCTCGCACAGCCTCCTCAACCAGTGAAGGCCAGGTCTGTGGCACCTGCAGTCTTGTTGCCATACTTACAAGGTGTTGTTTGATATCTGGCAGTTTCTCCCCAACGATTTCTGCAGTCTCAAAGACGTTGCGGTACTTAATCAGCGGTTCTACAAGCTCTTGAAGAAAGGATGTGTTCTGATGTAGTTTCCGGCGGAGCAAATGTCGTTCATGTACAAAATCCTTCCGAATCTGCTCCATCTTGTCACCCTTCCTAGGCGTTGTGATGCTCACTACCTTGTCAAACTTCTCTCTGCTTACTCCTTGTAATGGCTCTGAATCTGACGCACGCATGCGAAATTCTGTGTCCAGAGTTTCAGGTGGCCCCTGCCATAGGAGTTCCCCAGAGTATGCTTTGGTGATTGTGGCAAGGTTGGAGGCCTGCAGCACCTGCAGTGGTCTTTCAAATCCAAACAAACAAAACCCAATACTGCACCTTTGTCATTGTCTGTTATAAATTTGTAATTGTACTACAACTTATTACAGTACACCACCGTAAAAACCAAACAGGTGGGACAACAAAGAAGCATTCCCAAGTCCATATATTTGAGACGTGGGAGGTAAGAGGAAGACAAAGGCCGACAATGACCAACAAAAAGAGAAACAAAAAGAAACAAAAAGGGAGACAACACAGACACAATGACCGACAAGAAGGGAAACCAGAATCCAAACAAAAGGAAACAGAAGGGAGACAAGACGGACACAATGACCAACAAGAAGGGAGACAAAAGAAAACAGAAGGGAGACAAGACGAACACAATGACCAACAAGAAGGGAGACAAGAAGGGAGACAAAAGGAAACAGAAGGGAGACAAGACGGACACATTCATTGAGAAACAAGAAGGGAGACCAGAAAGGAGACAAAAGGAAACAGAAGGAAGACAAGACGGACACAATGACCAACAAGAAGGGACAAACACAATGACCAACAAGAAGGGAGACAAAAGAGGAAGCAGAAGGGAGACAAGACGGACACAATGACCAACAAGAAGCGAGACAAAAGGAAACAGAAAGGAGAGAAGAGGGACACAATGACCAACAAGAATGGAGACAAGCAGGGAGACAAAAGGAAACAGAAGGGAGACAAGAAGGACACAATGACCAACAAGAAGGGAGACAAGAAGGACACAATGACCAACAAGAAGGGAGACAAGAAGGGAGACAAAAGGAAACAGAAGGGAGACAAGACGGAC